AAAATCGCAACGGGCAAAACGAAAGCCGATTAGTCATCGCACAGCCCCAATCCGAAAGTAAACCTAGGTCTTGCCCTAAACCCAGCACACTGGTCGCTAACGTCTCAAGGCATGAATCGAGATCCTAAAGGCATGTCTCTTCGCCCACATCTAAACACTCGCGAAAATCGGAACCTCCCGAGTTAACGAATCGGACGATTTACACCGAAGAGTTAGGTACGAGATGACAACTCGTATTCTTTCCTCTACATCTAACATAAAAAACGAATTTCATACTTAGAAAATATTTTCTTATTAAAAAGCATCCGAATACACACCGCCCAGCGGTAGGGATTCAAAGCCACCAACGGCCAGTCCTGGAAAAACAACGACAAAATCAAAAAAACTAAGAACATCACACATCAAAGTCATCAAACGTAGGTTGATCGACCTCACCATCTACATCCGAAATCCCAGGACCGACTTCAACCAAATCCGGCGACACCACGATGGGGTTCCATTGATCCCACATGCGCGCCTTAAGGTCGAACAATTCAGATTGCATATCGCTTTCCCGACTCAGGTTTTTCCGCCGTGCGGAGAATTCCTTATCAAACGAATACCCTTCATTTTCAGTTAGGGATAACCCATGAACAACCCCGCGACATTCGCGATCATCACCATGCGCTCGTTGAACAATTTCTGCATTGGAACAACCGGTTGCAAATCGCTCGCGACGAGCCTTCATTTCCTCGGCAACCTCTCGTTTTCCCGCACGACGAGCGCGACGAATCCTTTGGTCAGAAAGCTCTTTGGCACGGCGAGACCTGGTCGCACATTCATCCCTCACGCGAGCAACCTCCCTCGCAACCACTTCTTCGGCTTGGTTGGCCTCGACTTCTACCCGAAGACGAGCAACTTCCTTTTCGGCCATGCTCGCTCGAAACTCGGCAAGGCGAGCCTCAGCAGTGCGATTGTCCAGGGCTCGGCTCATGATGAGGAAACCCTACCAAAAAGAAGATTTAAGCCATCTCATAAAAACTGATCGAAAAAGAAAACAATAAACGCACGTACCTCCTTTGCTATCTCGGATCCCCTAGTAAGCTCTGGAACTTGATCATGGTCAATGTCCGGAAAATGGGAGGTCGATGATCCGCCCGCCCTCGTCCAGAAGCCATCTTCCGCCTGACTATCAAGAAAATCCTTGAGGATATTATCAGGAGAAGTCGCGCGCTCAAAGTCATCGTCTTCAATTACCGGATTTTTATCCCTTCGGAAGCGAGATTTTCCACTCCCCATCGAGGGAACATGCGGAATGAACTCTCCGATAAACGGATCCTCCTCGTAAATCAGAGAATCCGCAAAACGTCGAGATCGGAAGAGGGAAACCGCCTGACGGACGCGTTGCGGAGAAAAACTACACCAACTAACTTCACCACGTTTGAGAGAAGTAGTGATGTCCGGAAGATCCGCGGGATACGGAGGCAGAGGGTTGGTCACTGCGGAAAAACAGGAAGCCATTTTAAAAATAATAATAATAATAATAATAATAATAATAATAATAATAATAATAATAATAATAATAATAATAATAATAATAAGGGTTCGTGCGAATTCGAGTCGTATACCTCTCCGACCCCACGTGGTCGTAAAGAACGGAATGCCACCCTCCTCGACCGACGCACCGTCGATACGAACATAGAAGAAATTCTTCTTCCAAGAAGTAGAAGGCGTTGAGCAGCCCGTAACAACTTCATCACGAGGGTTTAGAGTGATCCTCCGCGATTGTCCTGTAGGCTTTAACAAACCCTCGAGATGATCGACGGTGAGGGTGATTCCCTGCTCGTAACTTAGCGTCAAAAGACCGACGAGTTGCTTTAAACTTGGAGGATTCAACTGACTAATCGACAGTCCTAGCCTGTGAAGGAAATGCACAATGACTTCCGGAATCGGAAACCACAGGTGGCATTGTTGCAGGAAAATGTTATAACATGTGAAGAATCCGTCGGGCGCATCCTCGTCGCTCTCCCCGGCAAGTGGAGAACGAAACTCAACGGCCTCTGGGACTCGGCAGAATTCACGCATGTAATCAACGCAGTTAAAAAGCGTCAAGCTCGGACGTCCGGAAATCTGATCGACGTCCGACAAAGCTGGAACCCAAGTTCCAGGCCTAGCGGACCCCGACTTGTCTCCGATCGCCCAAAAAGCCTCGATATCCGCCGGATCGGCTAACGGGGACGAATACTCTTCTTTCGGATCCAAGGCTGGAGGCTGCGAACTCGTTCCTTCAGAATTGTGAAAATTTGAACTAGTCGAGGGACGAGTTTTTCTTCCTGAAAACATGTTTGAAGATCTTCAGAGAAAGTGGAGAGAAAAATTTCTTGAATAAGTTGTAAAAGATGGAGTAAAGAATTCAAAATTTTACTCCATATACTTATAGGGAAGAATTTTACTATTCACCTTTGGACTTTTGGCCATTAAATTTCCGCCTAATTCCACCAAACTCGCCAAACTCGCCCAACAAGCTCAATCCACTCGCAAGAATCTCACGATTCTTACGAGCTGGGGGGCTAACTGTTGGGGTCAAAATCGGTACGACGGAATTAATAGCCAAAACTCCCCGCGAAAGTACAAAAAGAACAGTTTTGTAAAACCCGAGGAATGGTTTTATAAAACTGAAAGTCATTTATAAAACTCGCAGACCGTTTTATAAAACTCGAGAAATCGTTTTATAAAACTCGAGAAATCGTTTTATAAAACTCGAGAATCGTTTTATAAGACTCGAAGATCGTTTATAAAACTCTAGAAATCGTTTTATAAAACTCGAGAAATCGTTTTATAAAACTCGAGAAATCGTTTTATAAAACTCGAGAATCGTTTTATAAGACTCGAAGATCGTTTTACAAAACTCGAGAAATCGTTTTATAAAACTCGAGAATCGTTTTATAAAACTCGAGAAATCGTTTTATAAAACTCGAGAAATCGTTTTATAAAACTCGAGAATCGTTTTATAAAACTCGAGAAATCGTTTTATATAACTCGAGAATCGTTTTATAAAACTCGAGAAATCGTTTTATAAAACTCGAGAAATCGTTTTATAAAACTCGAGAATCGTTTTATAAAACTCGAGAATCGTTTTATAAGACTCGAATATCGTTTTATAAAACTCGAGAAATCGTTTTATAAAACTCGAAGATCGTTTTATAAAACTCGAGAAATCGTTTTATAAAACTCGAGAAAGAGAAATCGTTTTATAAAACTCGAGGATCGTTTTATAAAACTCGAGAAATCGTTTTATAAAACTCGAGAATCGTTTTATAAAACTCGAGAAATCATTTTATAAAACTCGAGAAATCATTTTATAAAACTAGAGAAATCGTTTTATAAAACTCGAGAATCGTTTTATAAAACTCGAAGATCGTTTTATAAAACTCGAAGGTCGTTTTATGAAATCCGAGGATCGTTTTATAAAACTCGAGAATCGTTTTACGAAACCGCAAAAAACCGAAAAAGCCGTAAAACGCGAACTAAAGACTTCCCGGACACTCCGCGTCTCGATTTCCCGCATTCCAGATTCGAAGCTTACGTCTTTCGACAAGGTCGCGTTCCAAACCACGGCCGAAATATCTCCCGTTCCATCTCGATCCGACTTACCGTTCGAGTTTTACGATAAAAACCATAAAACTTCGTTTTCTCGGAAAGAACTCGAGGAAATCGTATAAAACGGCAACGGTTAAACGAAACACCGAACATTGCCATAACTATACGATTTATTCGAGATTTCTCGTTGAAATCATAAAAAACGCGCTTTTAATAAAAAACGCCGAGTAAGTCGTAAAAACGTGTTTTTAAAAAAAAAGTCGAGTAAACCGTAAAACCTTGCGATTAACTCGAGAAATTTATTAAAAACAACGTCAGATCAGGAAACCATCCCGTAAAAAGTCGGAAAACGGTTTTTATCGCAAAACGGCCCGGAAGGACCTAAAACGCGATAAAAAACCCATCTCGCGATTTCAACGGAAGCAAACCCGCGGATTTGGTAACGTTTTGACGGTTTACTCGCAGAAGGAAAATAAAAGTCAAGTTTAAAGATAAAAGGAAGGTTTGAAGAGAAATAGAAGATTTCCGCAGAAGAAAAGGAAGGATCGAGAAGAATGGAAAATTCCCGATTTAGTCAAATCTGGGCGAAATGGAAAGATCGGATAGCCAAGACGAGGAGTATATAAAGAGGAGGTCTAGNACGGTTTACTCGCAGAAGGAAAATAAAAGTCAAGTTTAAAGATAAAAGGAAGGTTTGAAGAGAAATAGAAGATTTCCGCAGAAGAAAAGGAAGGATCGAGAAGAATGGAAAATTCCCGATTTAGTCAAATCTGGGCGAAATGGAAAGATCGGATAGCCAAGACGAGGAGTATATAAAGAGGAGGTCTAGGGCAGAAGCATGGACATGAAATTCAGAGCTCTCACCACCAAAACTAGCATTTAGGAATATCTCCGTTTTTCTGTTAGTGAGTTGCGTCTCAATTAGGGTTTTCGTTCTTAAGCTTTTCGGCTACTCTTTTGTACCAGTTCTACGCAGATTCGGAATAAGAACCTCTTTGCTCTCTATTTCGTTTATTTTCATTCAAATTATAAGTTATCGTTTTCTTATTTTTCGTTGTGCGGTTCTCGCAGATAGCCGGTTCCTCTGGAAACTTAGGGTTTTCCCGAAGTTTCCTTATTTACGATTATTTGACAGTAGGTGGAAATCGACACCCACATGGAGGATAATAGAATCAAACTTCTCATGAGGATGATAAGTGATAAGCATGACTTCAGTGACCATATTTGGGAGTCCGAAGAGACAGCGGAGTTTTCTTTTGGGGTTCATGACAAACAAAGAGAGGATAATGACGTATCTGAGAATGACGAAGTAGTTCAGAATGCCGAACATGGTCCAAAGAATGGTGAAGAAGATGGGAGAGATGATGACTTTTTAACTCCAAAAGAAACGACGAGCACAAGCTCCGGAGGTAGAAAGGGAAAGAAGAGGCTCCCGGATCATGGAATGGAAAGAAGGAAGCAAAAGGTTCTCTCTACTCGACCAAAAGATCCTTCTCCGTTTAATGAGGATATGAAGAGCTTTGTGGCGAATTTGTTTCAGCAGAAATTTTCGGCAATGGAAGAGAGGCTACAGAAACAGATGGGTGAAAGGTTTGAGAAAATGCATTCTGAGCTTAAAGTTTCCTTTAAGGATGCAGCCGTGGAAGTTGAGCCATCTCCTAGCAAGTCATCTCCTACCAAGCCATCTCCTAGCAAGCCATCTCCTAGCAAGCCATATCCTACCAAGCCATCTCCTACCAAGTCATCTTTTAGCAACCTAACTCCTAGCAAGCCAATGTCTACCAAACCCTCAACGAACAAGACAATGTCTACCATGCCATCGTCGAGGAGGTCCACTCGCTTGGTAATCATGGGAAAAAAACACTAGTCTACACCACTCTGAAATGTTATTGTTTGTATGCTTGTGTTAGTGTCTTTGTGGAATATATTTATGCAATGCTTTTGTAATTCGATGTGTGAACTATGCTTTTGTATTGTAAGATAATGGAACTATGTGTAAGATACTGCCTACATAATCTATGCTTATGTTTGTGTTTTTGTATGATTTTTGTACTTGTTATTATACCAGCATTTAATCATTTATCTTCAATTAATAGGATGACAATATCAGTGAAGCAGAAGATATGGACATTGGGATAGATATGCAAGGACTAGAAGAACTTTCTCAGGTTTCGAACGTGCCAGGTTTTGATCCATCGCAGACTAATAAGGACATGGAACCATGTGATTGGTGGACTCTGATGAGTACAGTCCAGAAAATAATGGTCGAACCAATGCAAGAAAATAAAACTCCACCGCCGACCAAGTGGAATAAATGGCAAAGGAAACTTGAGCTTAGTGACTCACCCATGCCGTCTGATGGTTCTCCACAGTCTTCACTGTATTGGTTCAACGAAGAATCATGGGATAGATTCACTGAATAGTCTATGAATCCAACAACTTTAAGGATTGGTCCTACAGCCTTTAATATAACCGTAGCTGCAAGAGTAATAGGTCCTGAAAAATGGCTTGGAAATGAGTTGTTTCTTTCTTAATTATATAAGGTTGAATATGGGAGTTTCTTTCAATACTGCATTGATTTATTTTCCTCATGAATATTCAGGAAATGGATGTCTTCATGTATATATGGCGAGTGAAGACTTCTTTGAGGCATTGGACACTGGACCGTGTTGCTTTCATGCCCACTTATTTTTTCCTTCAAATTGAAAAAGCATACCTCAGCTTTACAGGTAACAAAAGAGGCTATGTATTAGGCGATATTTTTCTAGCTTACGGAAGAGGAGAACTTCCATCTCATGGACGGACTAATAAAGTATGGGGTGTTGATGTTGATCATCTCTACTTTCATCTACTTGTCGGAGATAATGTTCATTGGTCATGTTTTACATGTCTTTATTTAGATCCCCATATTAAAAGATTTAGCAATGTTCAATGCAGGTAATCTCTGGATAGCTGTCTGCGTCAATTTCATTGAGAAGATAGTTGAAGTATTTGGCTGCTTGCAGGGAAGGAATAGGCAATACGTGGAGAAGTTTTCTGTTATGATTCCTAGGATAGTAAAGGCTGTTGCACCACCTGAAAACAAGAAGTATCTACTGGAAAAGTATTATATCGTAGAGGTACCTCTAAAGGCTAGATTGAACAAGAGTTTATGTGACTGCGGGGCATATGCACTCAAAAATTTGGAATGCCAACTCCTTGGTCTTGACCTCAATTTAGTGGATGATGAAATTATCCAGCGTTGTTGTCAAAAGATTGCTCTGGATATATGGGAGGCTAAACAAAATCCCATTTTAATTGAGTTGATGACACAATATGTGCCTTCTAATTTTGAGTCATCTATTGTATTCGACCTCGTAGAAGACTGATTATGTCTGTTTAGTTCTAAGTTTTAGTTTGGTTTATGTGACAAAATAAGTTTGCTTTTTTTTATAGATTTATGTGACAACAATAGTTTGGTTTTTTTATGATGTATGAAAGATTTGCTATAGTCTTTTTGCTTTGCTTCATGTATTTACACAAATTTATAGGATTCAAAGAGAAAGTACAAACCTTTTGGAGTAGGTTGTATTCAGTATTTTTGTAAATTTATGTGATATGCCTTGGGTAGAGTATACGTTATTTAGATATGGAAACGACGGCGTTTTGTCAAAATTTTTGACCTAATCCTTTTTTCTTCATTCTTCCATGACAGAGAGAAACTCAGTGGGCGAAAACTTGGAGATCGAGTCAATTATGTCTTCCATCAGTTCTCCGGCCGAAACAAGATATCAAGTACCCAAACAACAAGGAATTCTCACTAGATGTAGACGCGGTGAAGGGGCTGTTCTTTTCACTTCGAACAACATTCAATTGTCTAAAGAACCACTCCCATGAATTATGATTTTCTGAATCAACAACTCCAAATGCGATCGGATAAAAATTGGAGTTACCATCTACAGCTGTAGCCACAAGTAGAACACCTTTGTATTTATTTTTCAGAAATGTTCCATCAACAATAATCACCTTGCGAATGCCATTGTACAATCCTCTAACTGATTTCCCAAACGATAGTAATAGTTACTTGAATCTCCCTTGGTAAGTATGCGTACAAGGATTAGCTTCTTTAAGCATATACAAATATTTTTGTATTTTTGCGTAACTTTGATCAGGTAATACATCTAACTACTGCAATTGCAAACTCACAAGCTTCCCAGACGTGCCAATAACTAATCTCACAACTATGCTCCAAGCGCATGTAATGGACTATGTCATTCGCTTTTGGTCCTTCATGGGGATCCTCAAATCGATGTTGTATCAAACTCCCAATTGTTCTTGCCGACGCCTTTTTTCCAAATTTGTTTTTTAGAAGGCGCACATGAATGCATTGCCACACACTTGTTGATCATGAAGTATGTAGACCCATCTAGATATTGCGCACGCATAGTCCAGTTGCATATTGAATCTTTATATCGAATATACCACCATTTTCTAGTCGATTTGAGAACAACATAATCAAAATTATTTTTCATCTCCCAAATTTCAGCTGTGGCCTTTAGAACAGATTTACTTCTGAATATTCGATCCTTTGTCACAAAAACGTTTCTCGATGATCGGCCATCCTTATCACAATCTCCATTTTTTTGCTCCTTAAACCAGCATCACCGTAACCATCATCAGCGACATGTTTCTTCTCAGAAGAAACAGTTGACGGTTTGACAAAGTCTCCTTGATTTGTTTCATGAACTTCGTCATCCTCAACATTACTTGAGTCACACGGTTCCTTATTCAAATCGATATTGACTCGTTCCTTTTCTTTTGTAGCAGTACCAGACATCGTCACACATAAGGTTATGGAAGAACCCTTATTCGCATACATCACAAAATTAGATACTTGTCGATCATTGCTGATTATAATAAGAGGATTATCTCTTTGATTCACCATCCTATAACTAAACTAGACATTAACAACCATATGGTCAACTTCATAATCCTCACACACCTTGATTTTGAGCTCCTCCAACAGGGTTGTAGTTTCTAATGTTACCATTCGACCACGCCTTTCCTTGTCTGCCAAGAAACTCCATTGATCATTGCAACTTGACATCCATACTCCAGATTTAACATAGATTAGAACCATGTTTTTTTATAGATAGAAGAGGTGGTTATGTCGATGACGAAAAGAGAGAAACAAAGAAGAGACGAGAGAGAGAAAGATCGTGAGAGAGAATCGTGGGAGAGAATATTATTTGAGATATTTGGTGTAGATTTAGGTAAGTTAGTTATCGAAAATATGGAAGTTTCCATATTTTCTTGATTTAGCTATTATATGTACTCTACGTAAGGCAGGGTAATGAAGGGGGGGGGGGGGGTCAGATGTTTATTTATCTTATGCGTACGATAATGTAAAAGGTAGAACAAATTATAATACATAATCAAAACTGGGTAGTCCGTAGAGTTGCGGTTATAAGTCGGATTTATACTTACATTAGACTAAAGACATCTTGTTAGAATACAACATCACGAATTCTACACAAGATAGAATACAGAAGAAAGTTTTGTTTGTATTTTGTACCTAAGATAGAACTACGTGTACAACATACTATTTGATTCCTAAATGACGTAGATAGCTAGAATGAGTAATCTATCCTTGCTATAACATTAAATAAAACATGACTCCCAAATTTTTTTAAATAAAACATGTGTATCGATCGATATGTATCTCTGGATATCGACCTTGTTGTCTGATCTTCATAGTCATCTCGGAAAAAACTCTCCTTTACGCTCCATAAGGGCACCTAAATTATCACTTTACTCCAAAATGCTCTTGAGCCTGAAAACATACATAATAGACTCCAAAACATATATATATATATATATATATATATATATATATTGTAAAATCATCTTAATACCATAGTTAAAAGTGGATCAAAACCATGGTATATCATATACCTATAACCCAATGAATAAAATCAAAATACATACATACGCCTAAAAGACATCCATTTGAAGAAAAAAAATCCAAAATTGCATAGAGGTAGAACAAACAAGATTGTTATTTGGATGGTGTGCGTGTGTAATTTATCAATAATTATTAGTTTGATATGAAACTCTTTTAAGACTTTATTTATTGGTTCTTTAATAAACATCAACTATATAACACACTTCAGTACTATAAACTCAAATCGTTATTCAAGTACACGTACATATGAAGCATTGAACAAATGCTAAATACACATATAAATGATTAATGACACATTAAGTTAATATACCTATAACACAATGAATAAAATCACAATACATACATACGCCTAAAAGACATCCATTTGAAAAAAAAATCCAAAATTGCATAGAGGTAGAACAAACAAGAACAAGTATACAAAGAAAAGTGAAACTAGGCGTCTTGGTGATTCTGTCCGGGGGTGCTAGTCGTACCATTGATGCCATTAGAGTACTTGTTTGAAATCGGTGCAGCAATTGTGTTACCTCCACGGCTCTTACGGCGAAGAACAATAAACCATGTAAGTGGCTCAAGAATCACGACGCAGGCACCAAGAAAAATGAGGATTCCAATATAAGCCCATCGCCATTTATCTTCGGGGTCCAAGATATCGAATCCTTTAAAGATATTAATAATGGATAGGATAATAGTTGTGTATCCCACGGTGTGATGGTACACGTTCCAGTAAAATCGATACTTGTGGTCTGGCTTTGGCCTTAGAAGCAGAGCAAAGACTTGAAGTGTAGCGAATGTGAAAAGTGCGATCCCAAGACTACGATGGGTTGAGTATGATGTTCCCGGTGAATCGTTGCCAAGCTTGATTCCGGTGGCCCAACCGGCTACACCGATGACATAGCCAGAGACTTGGAAGGCGATGTGGAGGTAAAACCAGGTTGGGGCGGTGAAAACTTTCATGTACCGCGCCATCATTGCTCCCATCGGCAATAGCACTCCCCAGCTAATCGCATTTAGTATTCCGTGGGTCTGTTATATTAATTAGTTAGTTTTTGAATAATAAATTTCAGATTTCAGAATTGAAAAGAAAAATAAGTCAAATAATTTACAATTATGGATTTCCGGCGAATAAAACTGTTTTTATTTCAATTTATATGGAATGGTAAAAAGATTTTCCTAATTTTATACTTATAAAATCATTTTTCTTTTCTCCAATATTGTCAAATAAATTAGCTCAGAATGTTCAATGGTTGTCGACAAACAATAAAAGTTGTTTTAAAGACTTAAGAGAGATAATTAAACATGAAACTGAATTTTCATGAATTCTATATAAAAAAGTCTTCAAATATCATTTTGATTATGGAAACTTGGAAAGTGGAGACAGATATTTGAGTTTGGTGAGAGTGAAACCCGTGACGAGAAGTCCACTTTCTTTTTCAACGAAAATCTAGCAATTGCGTCGTTGATATTTGACTTATAACTTAAAATAAATAAAATAATAATTCAATTATGCTTAGCTTAAATATACGCCACCATTTCATTATGTTCAGTTATTGTTTGTTGACAAACACGTCAATTTGTCTTATATAAATATTTATTAAATTTAAAATTCGGTCCACCTCTCAAAAATATTATTCCTACGCACACTTATCTTCTCATATTAGGCTATTTTCAGAAGTATTATATCATCAACAAAATATGTTTGAAAGTTGACCGTCAAAACACTAACATCAATATTTATAAACTTTCTTAAAAAAATTTTGGATGTCCCTAACGAAATGTTTGTAGAAAAAACATTCAAATTTTTTTTTCAGAACATTCAAATTTAGAAAAGAAAACATAAAGTGATTTAAATAATTCTGGGTAAAATTATTTATTTTTAGGAAATGATTTTGTTATTTTATAACCTTTAACAAAATGGTAAATACATTTGTAGCTAAATCTTATGGGATCAACTAATCTAATGTTATTTTAGTTCTTTGTAACTGGTTAATGATCCGTGCGATTATCAATCAAACAAGCGAACTGGAAAAGTGAAGCCAAAAGCGAAAGAAAGTTGGACTTACATTTCTCCTCTTCAGCCTGTTACCAGAACCTCCACCACTAGCCGATGACTGACCTGTCCGGAAATCGATCGTACCGGTCGATCTCATATTATCTCCTGTCCTTTGATGAATCTGAGGAACACCATTAGCGACAGGACCTATCTGCCAAACCTGGTTGGTCATGATCAAATTTGCCGGCAACTCAAGAGTCGCAAAGATGGTAGCTTCTCTGTTGACCAGAGTCGCGGAAACAAGGCTGACCCGGAAACTAAGATTTCCAGGTGTTAGCTGGGTGCTATATCCATCGACCGAAGAGGTATATGCTTGGAATTGTCCACTAGAATTGGTGAAGGCGACTAGAGCTTGCGTCCCCTGCATCCGAGGC